ATATATATATATATATATATATATATTTGAGGATTTTTATCATCCAATAACAATGGGTACACAAACCATATGCGTGCAATCGCAGGAAACTGGATCTAAAGGCGAAAATTTTGTAATCGTAAATTATAGTTCAGGCCGATTACGCATACCAACATTTTTTATTGGAAATATTGGTTTGTTTATTTTAAGTCGGAAAGGTTTTAGTGAAAGTAACTAGGAAAGCTTGGTGCCTTTGGCACTTGGAAAATGAAGAGACTCGAACGGCAAATGATATAAGACGCGGTAATTTTGTCCACTTCGTACAGTTTTCAACCAGATCATGTCTGCTGCTTGAACAACAGAGAAGAACTGGCATTTTATGGTCTTGTTTAAGAGTAGATACACGAACAAACTATTAGTCAAAGAGAAATTTCATTTCCTTTATTTTTTTTAAAAAGAACAGACAATGTGCGCGGATATGTGCACCGCTAAAAGATTCCGGTTTTACGCACCCTTCTGATGGGTCATCAAAATTTAGCTATAAAGAAGGCTTTCGCCAGGTATATTGAACCCAGACTCGCTCCCCGTCGAGGAACCAAAGCAAGAATGCATGCAAAAAGAACAAACCTTTATTGTAATCGTTCCTTCGGCGCTAAGAGAGTTGTTGGTTACGCGGACTCGGAGGGGGTAAGTGCCGGACTCCAGTTTCACCAAGGGTGAGAAAAACACCAGCTGGGGTTCCAACAGAGCCAGTTCAGGATTCTTGAGTCCTCTCTGACTGGCCTTCGATTGGTTCACTGAGTTGGCGGAGGCAGCACGAATACGAACAGTGCCATCGTAAGCATCAATATGGAAGAAGTTAGCCGCAGCGGGTGAATCATTAGGCAGGAGTTCGAAGAGGAGGCGATCGTAGGCAGTGCGGTCCTTTACTGTAATCCTCGTCAGGGGCGCGGAGGGTTTGCCCATCTGGGACCTGCGGGCCCAGTATGTGAGTGGTCCGCGGTAGAAGGTGAGCGTTGTGTTGCTACTGACGATAGCCGGAGGCAAATCAGACTGGCGTACAACGTGTACCGTGACAGGAACTGAAGTGCGAAGCGCAGTGAGGCCGCTATCATGGGCACGAACCACCAGACTTTGGCTTCCCAACTGGTCGTGCAATGGAAAAAAGGAAAAGTTAAATTCCCTGCATAGAAGGTTGGTGGTGAAAACTCGGCGGGTGAACATTTCACTGATCTATCTCGTCCATGTTCACCAAATCTTCCCTAAGTAAAACGCATTTCGGAATTTCGGTTAAAGTTTCCCAAGATCGGCCACTGACTCCAAGTATCAGATCGGCCAGTTCTTTTGTGACACGCATTTAAATTTGTGACGTTAGGCTTCAATGTGGCAGAAAAACCGAAAAGTGTAAAACAGAATGCATAAGGATTCATTGATAATGACAGACTGACTGTGATAGTTAGCTCTGGTTAACCAAGGCTTAGTCAGTAAGGCCTGTTCAAATCCGGTTTACTTGCTCTAGAGTCCGTACAATCTCGGTCTTGGCCATACCAGTTCAGTCGCAGAATCGTAGGCAGCATGCCTGACGCAGGCTAAATCGAAAACCACTGAGGTTGGGCCCTAGAGACAAGTGGAAGGAAACTATGAGAATTCGAACCGTCTCAACTACGCAGAAAAAATGATTTTAAGTCCCGTGGGCACCCCAGGTATTGAACTTTGTGTGTGCAAGAACGGACTGCTCTCCAGTCCCAACGACCAGTTAGAAGTCTTTATTAATTTTGAAATCTTGCTCTGAAAAGCTTGGGTCGATCGTTACTCTCAAGTGCCATTGCTGGCACTTGCGAAACCAAAACGCGGACTCTTAGAGGTATGAATCAGTTTAATTTTCATTTCCGTCTTCTGGTAGGTGCAATGGCATACTCGGGAGAAAGATAGATGACATGAAGCCTTAGAAAAGACGCAACTTTTCTATTGTCCACATCTTCTAGAAAGTGAAAACGAATCGTTTGTTTTCTTGGCAACAGAGGACTCCCAGTCTTTAGTGACCACATTGAAAATGATTGTACGAAAGCAAAATCGCTTAAAAGCGTGAATCTGAAGTACCCAAGTCGCGCATTCCCACTTGAGAACAAGTTTTCAAGAAGTGATTATCGTGCATACCTCTCTCACCTTCGAAAGGAAAGAAACACCAGATCATCTATTTTCCTCTCCCTCTTTCTCTCGCAAAACAGGCAAACTTAATTTAAATCTGAAAAAGGAACATCGCTCGGTAACGTAATTTGCATAATCCACGGTTGGTTCGGTGGATGAAATAGCAATGTGGGAAGGGAGAGAGGGCGGGAGGGAGGAAAGGGGGTAGAAGGAGGGAGGGAATGAACAGGTAGGGTTATAGCCGGCCACATGCAAAGTGCGCAATACGGAAGCTTGAACTACCACAATTAACGCTAATGACTTACAGGTAGGGTAGAGGGCGCGAATAAAAGGCAGAAGCCAGTCTGGTGCGGCAGAAAATTGTGAAAAATGACGGGCTCAGGTGAGATGGAGGAGTTAGAGGACGACTGAAAGGTTAGAACGAATTTCTGCGAAGGGTCGGGGATTCCGTCAGCTTGAGCTGTACTTGGGTGACTAGACCAAGCCGAGTTTGAGCTCGACAGTTTGCAGACAAACGGTCCGGCATTCGGGGAGGCATCAGCATCCGTAATTGCCAGATGACCCAGCAGAATCAGCTTGGCAGACGGCGCATGGTCCCTGCTCATGACAGCCTTTTGAGGTAAAAAAAGGGTGTTGGTGTAACTTACCTGTTAGTGCTCGGTTTGACAGTAAATTAGAGAGAAATATGGGCTATTGGAGCACTGAAGGCTTTCGAACTACGGACACTAAGCCAATATCACAGACAAAATGGGAAGTAATTTGAAAACATTCTTCTATGTATGTGCTGGATATCAATATTGAATGGACGCCATTAGTTAGTAGACGGTTTCCACCCTGGCCTATAACAGACGATCCCAATGCCTCCTGAACAAAAAGAATAGGCGAAACAACAACAGTTTTCATAGTTGGAAAATATCTCACAATTTTTATGAAAGCAACTTGTAAAAAGGTAGCAAATTTCGTTGCCATCTTAGAATTTGAGTAAATAACCTAAAGTAACAGAGAAACAGAGTTGCGGAGATGTAGGCGAATCATTCAAAACTTAAGCTAAGTATCTGGAAAGGAGCGATTCAATTAAACCAAAACGAAATTATGATTTTAAAAATCTGGAATTCTCGCGGTCTCGTAGGGAATTGTTCGACCTAGATGCACGCAGGAAATGCCAATGGTCACAGGACACGTCGCCAGTTGGTGTACTGACAATGCCCTGTTTTACCCAGCCAGTTTTTCTATTAACCTTAGAGTTCTAATGCTCAGTGAAGTCGAAAGGCAGACGAAGAGGCCCCGATACAAGGAACCTTTCGGTTTAAAAGAAAATATTCAGCTACTTTTACCACAATCAAAAAAAGATCCTGGTCGCATGGTGTTAGAGTTCAGTTAGTTAAGTGCTCGGGTGCAGCAATTGTAATAGTAATTAGGAGACGGACACAGCCCTTCGAAACCACAAGACTTTTAAGATACACAATGAATACAGAAGTGGCTACTAGAGTCCGCGCTTTAGTTTGTGAAGAGAAAAAAAAACAATTTAACAAATACTCAACGACCGTTATAAAAACTCACCGGCTGATCATTGACGAAGGCAACCTTTCCACTGCGATCGACCTAAAAATAGAAACAAATATCAGTCGAGTATTAAGCATAGATAAGAACTGGTTTTTTAGACCCAGGTTTAATAACGATATGGAACGTTGATGTTTATTTGCATGGAAGCAATTTCCTCAAATATATTATTTATAAGAAATGGGCGCCAGAGGCGAAATGACTGGTGCCGGTGAAGCCATTTGCGAGCTGACTGCCCTTCGGAGTAAAGATGGAAGTGGAACCTTAAACGCATCACGGAAATACCTCGAATGAGAGATCGGTAAATTCAGAGTTGACTAAATATTGGCTCCTTCGTAAGTCGGCGATCGCCACTTCCGTAGAGTAGGACATTCTTTTCTCATTCTTATTCTCCCGCCTTCCTGAAGCTTTGTATATTTACACGTGTTTGTCACGACCTCTGAAATTCTCAGTGTTACTTATCAAACACGTTCATTACTTCATATATAGTACAGTGGGAAGTCAAATATAAATATCATTATGTAGCTGTAACCAAGGCTAATGAAGCTGTTGTAGCAGCAAATAGCACAGTTAACAGACTACCTGATTCCATAAGTTAAAACGTAGTCCTGGTCCGAAAGGGAAATAACAATAAACTCTTTTTAGCAAACTGGGATTGTAAATTCGTCATACGGTTTAGGTTCTTGTAAGTGTACGCAGAGACACGTATAACTAGGTGGCTAGATGTGAACAGTTTTCGTCACGTTGCTCCATTGACTACGTTGTGAGGTTCCAGAAAAAAAAGTTCCCCTCATCCGACCTGATCAGACTGAAAGAGCCGCTCTTGGTAACCCGCTTGCTCAGCAAAAGGACAATCAACTAGCATTTGCATCTAATCGAGATAAACAACGACGGCAAAGTATAAGATCAAAAGGAAAAAGGAGCCACACTTAATAGTTAAATTCAAACTCCAATTTTTCTGACAAAGAATTTTAACAGGGATCTTCACAGGGGTCCGGTAGCGACCCGTAGGTTGTGCGATCCAGGTTCGGACGTGAGTTACACCAGTTTGTCAGTTTGAACGCAACCGTTATACCCGCATGAACGTAGTGCAAAAGACAAAATTATAGGTTTTTCGTGTACGCTCCAATTATTACATGTGAATGCATGTTTCCACTGAGATTCAAACTAAGAAAACACAGAGGTCGAATTTGTGGTGAACCGGGGTAAAAAAAGTCAGTGAGAAAAACCTTCAATGATGCATGTACAGGGGATGGGAACGAAAACTTACTTGTACAAAGTACTCGTAGCTCGAGTGTTCAAACTGGGGTTGGCAGTCGTTGACATCACGGATGGTCACAAGAACGTTAGTCATAACGGTTTCTGACGGTTCCCCATGGTCATGGACACATATGGTGAAGCGGTATTCGGCGGTCTTTTCCCTGTCAGGCGAGAAGAGGAGGCTCAAGTCACCCTTCTCTGGACTGATTCGGAAGATATCGGAAACGGGAATGTCTGTCACTCCAACGTTCGTGCCGGCTACCTGATTGGGTTCACAGAACTCGTAAGTTAAACGGCCGTTCTCGCCGCTGTCTGGGTCCACAGCCGTTATCTGATGGAAAATTCAAACGGTGAATGTCACCGATGTTTCGTAAAGTACAGTATCAACTTCCGAATTTCAGAGGAGGGGGGGTCAAATTTCCCGTAAGTTAGTTAAGGAAAAAATAGAATAATTCTGGAAACAGGCTATGCCTGCACGGAGCCAGCTATTCTTCATAGAAATAACGATAAACCTGATTATTGTGGTGTTTCTGTGGAAAATAACTTTAGGTTAAAAAAACTGCTGCATTAAAACATTGTTGTCCATTTTCGCCAGAATAAGCCTTGTATTCTGCCCTTTAACTATCTTAAAATACGCTGTCTGCTGTTCCCTTCAACTCAGAAAACTGTGATGAAGGTTGAAAAACTGAATGAAAAAATGAACACCAACAAATTTGGTCATAGTCAAGCAAGTTTAGCCAGGTACATGTTTTAAAGGACCCTCCAACGCAAGAGATTTTACCAAATTTGAAACAGTTAACTTTATCAAAAAGTAACCTTCTACAAAGGGACGACTTGTCACAATTTTACTTATGTTTTCCACTGAGGAGGATGAACTTTGCCCAAGTAGCTAACGGCAGAATAAAAGCCCATTCTATTTAAGTGGCGATATTCTTTTGGCATAACTGTAAAGAAGTCAAATGCAAACGATGTGAAACCATACCACATGTATGCCGCCAGATTTATCGCCAGATGATCGCACTAATTATGACGTTTTAATAGACCACATATAAGATATAATATTTGTACTTAACGATACACGTTCAGCGATAGTTGCCACGACAAATCTAACTCGCAGTTGGCCTAGACGTTTGATAGTTATATGGCCGAATCCAAGTTTCCTTAACGGCATAGAATGACACCCATCACTGTCTATGTTACCTTCAAAAACAATGAAGCTCCAGTTAATTGAAAAGACAAGAGTAATTTCCAATAGAAACCATCATAAAAGTGATAGTTGGAGTAGCTGGAACGAATTTTCAAAGTAAAATCACCACAACGACTCCCTTCATTTTGTCATCAGACACCCTACAATCTCAGTTTTCATGGTGATTATCACTATAAACACCTACCCAGTCAATTTTATTTAACGAATTACTGATCCTTGAATTAGAGCGCACCAAGCTGGTTGCGGCGCTCAACGGAACCCGCTCCTGCGGTGCCTCGTGCTCTATGGGAAAAGTGCAAATGAATGCTTTCAGGTGAAGGCTGCACAACTTGTATCAAAAAGCATCAAGGTGGAGAGAGAAAAGGGAGAGAGAAAGGCTCTTGTTCAAGTGCATCCTTCACCTTTACCAGTCTTGAAGTTCCCATAGATACATGAAACAATCAGGGAGTTACGGTCTGAGGAGTCAGTGTGCGAAATCTTGTAAGGCCGAAAATCGTGATACTTGGCAGAAACGGCTCAGTCCGCATGCAATGAAGTCAGTATGGCTAAGGTAGTCGCCAGGTGCCAAAAAGGAGGATAAAGGTTTTAATTTTCGTAGGCAAAAGATTCCCATTACCAACTAGTACTGACAACAGCAATTGATGCTTTTGGGAGACTTTGAAGATCACTGGAGCTTTTGGTGGAGCAGAAATAAGAGATAAAGTTTAGTTTTTTTAATCGCTTGGCGCAGTTTCCAAAGCTCATCTGGACACCGCACCCGAGCTGGGGATGACTTTTTCCAATGAAGGGAAGTTGAAGATAGGAGACGGGGAACGCGGAAAATTGAGTCCTAGTCGTAAGAGGAGTGCAAAAACACTGGTGATCGCTCGTCCCGTCTCCATTTTCCGCAGAAGCGCAAGGTAATACGATTATGGTAGGTAAGACCAGAACCTAATAAATCCATCTTCAATGTGCTAGACATGAGCTCCAAGAGTGATCAGTAAACATCTAGCGATGGAATAAGGGCAACAGAGAAGGAGAGGAAGCTCATCACAAGCAGGTGAAGAGGCATGAGCAATTGTGGGACGTGCTTGCGCCAACCAGCTGACGATGAAGCCATTGCAGTCTGACCCTCGGTTCA